TCTAACATAGAAAAACCTAACTTAATAATAAAAATCTTAATTAAATATATAAACATATCATCAACATCAAGAATACATTAAAAAAAACTTATTTCGTTTGACTTTATATTTGAATAAACATGTAAAACTTTTCACGAGGAACAATTTTATAATATTTAATTTTCAAAAGATAAAAATTGAAATTAGAAATTTTTAAAAAAACAAAGGAGAAACTAAAAAGAATCTAAAGATAATAATTTTTATAAAATGAATTTTTCATTATTAATAAAAATCTATTTATAATTTAATCTTTTATTATTAAAATATTAGTGTTATGTTAAATATAACATCTGTACATAAGAATAGAAACCTGTTATTAGTGGATGTATCCAAAAAATATCAGTAGTGCTATTAAGAATTGGAAATGATAATTTTGATACGTAATTATTGAATGATCGTATATGTTAATGGCGTTTAATGTATCACTATACTTTAAAAGTTGCCCCTTAGTGCAACACAAGAATCATCGTTACGTTAATGGGATTCCGATTTCAACGTTATATTATGCAACAGCGTGGCACCGCCTATCACGTCAAATCACCGTGTTGATAAAGCGAAATGTCCATACACGTGTTGGCTTGTGAATGGATAAAGAAAAGACGGTACCTTGAGGAGCATATTTCAAGCATAAATTGTTCTCATGAAACGCTTTTTATTTATTATTTACAAAAAGTATATAAAGAATGATTCTGATTACATAGAGAATTCAAATTAATTCTTAATATTTTAATTTATTAATAAAACAATTCTCAATTAACATTTAAATTAGTCTTGAAAGTTTCATTTTAACATAAAATAGTTTCACATAATTTAATAAAGAATTAATTTTAAATTCGCTTATATTTTCATATTTTACCGACATCAAAATTCCAATATCACTGCAGCTTCACCACCGCCCCATTCCCAACTAATTTAAGGACATGCAATTGGGGAATGTCTCAGACCATAGCGCCGAATTTTCCTTAAAATGTCGAAAGAGGGTGAGAAAAGGAAACACGTCGCCAACGACGCCGTTTCAGACAGCCAGGTTAAGAAGCAGGCGCGCGACGTGACGGACGAAGAGGTCGAGGAATTCTCCGCCATACTCCGCCGCATGAAGACGGCGGTGAAGTACTTCAGGCGCGGCGAAGCGTCCCAGAGACGGTGGGCGGAATCGCTAGAGGAGCAGATTGTGCAGGATGTGAAAGAAAAAAGAGACACTGGGAATTTGGGTTTGGATCTAAACGAAACTCCCACACAAGAGTGATTGTTTATTTTTCCTCTTACCACCACCCAAACCTTTCACTGATTATTTATAAAGAAAAAGGAAAGAAGTAAATTTGACTTATTTTTATAAATAAGTTAAATTTAGTTTATACAAAAAATAAATAATATTTTTAAGACATTAAACTAATTTTAATATATAAAAAGGTGATTTTTTTTTTAAATTCGTTTGAAGAAGTTTGTTTTGATATAGTGTTTCTGATTAGTATGTGTATCTTTTCTTTTACTTTTTACGGGTTTCTGTTCTGGGCAAATATTAATTTTTATTGGAAGAAATTTATTACCGAATGAAGTTTGGTTATTTTATTATGTTTTAATTATTGAACCAATTATTAATCTTGGTTGTGATTATCGTTGGCCGAAACACAAGTTCTTTGTTGTATAAATTGTTTTCAAGATTTGTAAGTAAAACATTTCTAACTAATACATTAATCTATCGAATTTTTTATTTATTAATATGGTATAATAATGTGTTAATCTTTTGTTCCTAATTTATGATTGATGGTTTTAGTAAGCTATCTAATATACCGAGCAAACAAAGTTTGGTTATTTCTGTTATATAGGGTCATGTAATGATAAGAAACAAGTTAATTTTAAATAACAACTAAATATTTACTACGATAACGAGAAATCTAAAATATTATTTTTGAATTTGAATTATCTGCCATGATATTCTATATGTTGTTATGAGGTTGAGCAAAGGTATATTGAAGATAAATTAATTTTAATATTTAAAATATATAAAAACCATTTTTAATATATTAACAAGGAAACAACTTAAGTATCTTTTGAATAAGGCAGCTATACTAAGGTAATGTATCTTTTGAATGCTGAAGTAAAGAAAGAGAACCTAACAAGGAAACAACCTAAGTATGCCAGGGTGCAGGGATCCCATTAAATTGTTGTACTTATTAGGTAGAAGAAAGTGTTTCTGGCAATAAGAAAATAAATGTTTCTTTCAGACATGTTCAAAATTTGTATATGGATTTATAAGCTTTTCAAAACAGAAAATAAACATAAACAAGTTGTCGTCTTCTGTCAAGAAACCATGACAGAGTCCAACAGGCAAGAAACAGGACAAGTCACATCTATATCGAGATTTTTAATGTACCTTGTTCATCAATGGAAGTAGTTTTTCTCGGATGGTTGGCACTCCATATTGGATAAATCCCTGAAACAAGACAATACATTAAGCATATCGATCAGATTGATCATGAATCAAATTCCTACACACTTAATCTGATGTCAATACAACGATATAGAGAAATTTAAAAATGAAAAAAGAAACAGCAAATTTCTACTGGTTCGCGTGAAACAGAGAAACCAGAAAATCCAAAAAAATCAAGAGAAGAAAAAATAACGACAGGAAGAAAAGACAGAGAAAAATGATCAAAATACTTCGAGATTGAATTATTCCAAAAAACAAAGATCGACTACAATGTATAATCAAACTAAGCGACTGAAACAAACATAACGTTAGCAATAAAGGTCTAACGTAAATCGAGTACAACAAAAACCGAACAGCCAAAAACAAAAAATAAACGTACATGACCGAACAGTTACAAGAGAGCGTTCCGTCAGTACAAGCCGAGCGGACACAACAAGTCCAACCAAAAATACCGAACAGTTACCAACATAAAACTGAACGGTCAAAAATAATAAAAGAGTCTAATCAACATGCATTATACGAGCATTGTACACGTTGATCCAGAATGCTAGTTTCTGTTTGTAAGGCTTTTCAAGTCAACTGTTTGAAGATTGCTCATCAAGATCCTGTAAACCGCAAGAAACTAACTGTTACTTTAAATTTTGTTCACTTTACTATGTACCTCATCATTCTCAAGTAGAACTTACAATGTTTTCAACATTTTGATTCTTCTCGTAAATGTAGATATCATCCATGCCATACCTTAACTTCCTTAGTAATGGTATGGACTTGAGATAAACTTGGGATCAATAGAGCTGGAAGTGAATATAAGCAGGTTCTTGTAAGCACCAATGTCCCTTGGAATGGACTCTTTTGTCTTAAAGATAACATAAGGGTCTTGCTGCCTAGATTCCTTTTGCAACAAGAGGCTTGGTTTTGGGTTTGTCAGGGTATCCACCCTGAAGCTTCTTGAACTTAAAAAAGAGTGCAAAAACCTTGAAATTGGCCCTTATTTCTCCCATTCCATTGCTCTTGAATTTCTGAGTAGTCTTACATATACGAAATTCAAACACTTCATGATGCTCTCAGATTGCTTGTTGGGTTGCCACTCGAGATCATTCTCTTCTGACAGAAGTGGATCCAGCAGTGATCTAGTTCGGAGATCCAAGTACATCCCCGGATTGCTTTATAGTTCATAGAGTAAATGATATATAATGTTCAACGATCAATATATGGTCTGAGATTAGTATATATCTATAGTTTTGGTTAATCTTCATATGAGATATAATCAAACTCTTATAATATGTTCTTTTGAAAANCATTCTCAAGTAGAACTTACAATGTTTTCAACATTTTGATTCTTCTCGTAAATGTAGATATCATCCATGCCATACCTTAACTTCCTTAGTAATGGTATGGACTTGAGATAAACTTGGGATCAATAGAGCTGGAAGTGAATATAAGCAGGTTCTTGTAAGCACCAATGTCCCTTGGAATGGACTCTTTTGTCTTAAAGATAACATAAGGGTCTTGCTGCCTAGATTCCTTTTGCAACAAGAGGCTTGGTTTTGGGTTTGTCAGGGTATCCACCCTGAAGCTTCTTGAACTTAAAAAAGAGTGCAAAAACCTTGAAATTGGCCCTTATTTCTCCCATTCCATTGCTCTTGAATTTCTGAGTAGTCTTACATATACGAAATTCAAACACTTCATGATGCTCTCAGATTGCTTGTTGGGTTGCCACTCGAGATCATTCTCTTCTGACAGAAGTGGATCCAGCAGTGATCTAGTTCGGAGATCCAAGTACATCCCCGGATTGCTTTATAGTTCATAGAGTAAATGATATATAATGTTCAACGATCAATATATGGTCTGAGATTAGTATATATCTATAGTTTTGGTTAATCTTCATATGAGATATAATCAAACTCTTATAATATGTTCTTTTGAAAATGAACTTTATAGTAATTTTTTTCACACTGTAACAAAATGCTGTGGCAAAAACATGTTCTAATGAATGAAAATAAAGCTATAACATGAATAGGAAAATTGTCATGCAAACATTGGGTGATGGGTGACGGAGGTTTTACTGTCCCTTTTTTTCTTGGAACTCTTTCATGAAATTTCACCTCTTCTTGGAACTTATTTTCTTTCAGTTCTACAGAAGTTATCAGAAAACCTGATTTGTCATTTAGACTAAAATCACTGAGATTGTAATCACCCTTTATAGCTTTGCTTATGAAAGTAAATGCAACAATTAGCAAAACCTAAATAATCGCCAACAATTAACTGTTTCATATTTCTTTCTGCAACAGCAATCACAGCTGCAATTTCTTTACTCTAAACACAACCATACCTTCAACTTAAAATCAAATACAATTTAAACAGCAAATGCAAGCATCATAGCGATCACAAAAAGGATGTATAATAAACAAATATCTTTATACTTCACAACTTTTTCCTTTTCCAATTTAGTGACAGGGGCAGGAGAATGAAAACAATGAAGAAAAAAAGTGTCCAAAATCAAGAAAACGCAACTATACATAATCCATGTCTCTATTTGGTTGAAAATTTAAAAGAATTATTACATCAGTTCATATTTATAACTTCACATGACAAGCATAATCAAAATTTTGAGTTTATGATAAAAAAAAGAAGTAATAAATCTCAATCACATGTTACTTGAATATGAATTGAGATGTGCAAGAAATTGTGTAAAAGAGTGAAGGAGGGTGTGGTTGCATGTTAGATATGCCTCCAAGGTCTTTCTGCAAGGCTGACGCATTCATTATGCCTATAGCAATCGAGAAGATGATCAATGGTCAAGCCTGCAGCTTGCATAAAAGAGTGCACAATGACAGGACCCACGAACCGAAATCCACGCTTCACTAAGTCCTTGCTAAGGATCTCTGCTTTCGGACTCCTCAATGGCACATTTCTTGGGTATCTGTATCTGTTTATTATTGGTTTATGATTTACGTAACCCCATATGTAACTGCTGAATGATCCACATTCTTTAACAATCTGTCATCAACGCAGCTAACTTAACTACCATCTTTTATAACATCAAAAATCAAATTTAGTCTTTTATAAGAATAGTAGTTCATATATTCATTTAATTCCAATAGAAAAATATCACTTTGTGTTACTTGCCTTTGTTATGCATTTGGCATTGTCTACTATGCACATGACTCTGCTATCGGCTAAAGAAAGTGCTTTGTTTGATGCAATTTCCATTATATCCTTTTCCTCCATTTTGGCAACAGTATTAGCATCAAATCCAGCGAAAACTTCTCTGTGTCAATTTTCAAACATTGTACGACATCATAGTGTTAATTTGATTTACCAACAAAATTTCCATAGAATTAGAAATATACCTAAGAGTTTCTTTTCTTTTAAGAATTTCTGTCCAATTGTAGTCCATGAGCAATCCAGACATTGCAAGCAGCTCAAACAATTTGCTGTTTCAGGTAAAGTAAACCACACGTCTTATTTATACTAATAATTAATTATTAGCATTAAGATAATTAGAGAGAATGATTGTGAATTAATAATTTAGGTAACATATATACCAATACATAAAGTATCATTAAAAAAAAAAAGCACTTATTGCTTTCTATAAAAATTATCAGAAATGAAGAGAGTACTTTTAATTTCTTAGATCTTACTTGTCATCATAAGCTGGAACTCCCCAGCATTCATCATGAAATTCTATGTAGGCATTATCTGCATGTAAAAACCCTATATCAGGTTTTGACCATTATGAAAAAGTTACATAAAATATACTCAAATATCATAAATTTACAATAATTTATATGTACTATATTCAGTCAACAAAGTTAAATTTCTTTAATATTTACGTAAAGTTTGCTAGTATGATTGCAAAAACTGTAATATATAGGCAATGTTTTGTCAATGTTTTATCGTAATTAATAAGACATCTGGTATAATTTTGTCAATGTTTTATCGTAATTAATTCTAACAAGTACCAATGGGAAATTGTTTTGCTACATTTATTATATAGGCTAATTAAGTTGGTGTTTTACACTTCAACTACTCAACTGATATAAAAACAACCTATATTCTACCCAAGTTGTTGAATCTTTGTTATAAAATAGAGCTTTAGGTAGAAGGACTTGTTTTCCAGATTAAATATTTTCGTTTTATTTATCCCATGAATAAAGCATATCCCCAACAAAATGGTTAGACATTTTAGTCAAAAAGTGAAATGATGTAAAATAATGTATATAATGGCATTTCTTTGTTCTTGATAAACTTCTTATAATCACTTAAAAAATAAAGAGATAAAAAGAATATTTATCAAATAAGCTATAAACTCAACCTAATATTTTCAAAATTCTCCTTCATTCAATTTCTGCAAAATTTGAAAATAAATAAATTGATTTTAGTACGTCTAATTAGTTTTATAAAAAGAAATAACAAGGCCTCACCGAGTACGTAATAATGATTGAAATCTAAAGCAAGCCAAAATTTTCAAAGCTATAAAAGTAAAATAAAATAATGTCTGACCAGATTTGAATCCAAAATTTTATGTGTTTAATATGGGCACAAAGTAAAAATATCTTTCAGAGTTTTTTATATATTTAAAATAACTTTTAATAAAAGAAAACTCTTAAAGTTTTACAAAAGCATTTACAGTGTTTTTGAGTAAAGTAATTTAAGAGAACAATTAATTTATTTGATGAATTTAAAGTTTTTTAATAAAGTATATTATTTAGATGAGAAAATTAAAAAAGTTAAAATTTAAAAGATATTTTAAACAATTGAAATAATAAAATTTGAAATTAATTGATAATAGAATAAAAGTAAAATTCCAAAATTAATTAGTTTCTTTTTATAAAAACGTATATATATGTATTAAAAAAATCAAATTATTAAATATTAAAATTTAACTATATTTTATTTTGAAATGTAATTTTAAAATTTTATATTTAAAAAAAATAAAACAAAATTTTATCTTTAAAGAAGAATTTAATTATTATATCTAAAGAAAGTTAAAATATAAAATATTTTAGTTATTCTATCCAAATAAAATATTTAAAAAAAAATTTAAATTTGAATTTCGTATAAATATAAAAAGATCTTATCCAAAGCTAATAAGGTCATAAGTTTAGAGATTTAGGTGTGTAAACATGGGTCTATGTGAAGTTACGAGTGAAGTAAGAAAAATAAAAAATAAAGGTAAATTGGAAATGAAAGTGATGATACCACTGTTCTTGGTGATCCAGTTACATCTTTTGAAATCCCCAGTTTCAGTGGTGGATGGTGAAGTTGGTGGTTGGTGTTGGTGAAGAGGCTTAGAAGCTATTGTAGGTTCTGTTGTATCACGAGATGAAATCAAACGCAGTGCGAAGGAAATCTTCTCATCGAGTGGTGTCAAAGAATCAGCCTGAGAAGAGTCATTGGAGTTTTGTGACAGAGACAAGGATATGGAAGACAGAGACAAAGATGAAGTGCTTTTCTGAAGGCCAATGGGGTACACTTTCTTCAGGTTTCTGCTGAAAAAGTTGTGGTTCAATATTTTCTGTGTCTCTTTCACACTCCTGCACTTCTCCACACCATTTCTTCTTACATTCGTTTTAGACATTGTGGGCAACACAAAATTTAACGTTGTTGGAGGTGTGTGTTAGGGTGGGTTGGGAATGGGAATTAATCATAAAAATAGGGGTTTATAAAGAGATCTACAGTGTCAAAGTTGGTCGTTGTTGAAGGGTGATTTTCATGCAGAAGAAAGAAAGGATTTTAGGTCTTGGTTTTCAAGCAATGTTTGTTTACGATGGGTAACACATTTTTATATTGATAAAGATGGTTTTGTCTTTGGCCCACTCAAACATATGTCTAGGGCTATATCAAATGCTGAGATTATCGTCCATGAAAGAGAAAATGGTTTGGTGGGTGTGGATTAATTAGGATGAATAAAAAAAATGGTCCAAGGAAAATCTATACGAACTACAATTCATTATGTTCGTATTTGATTGAATTTATGTTTATCAATAGTTCATTTGTTTTATATATATATATATTGCGTTTTGTAATTCTTTTAGTTATAAAATAATCAAAGCAAAATAATTAACGAAAATTTATTCATAAACACCAAAAAGTTCTATCAATATTTAATACACACAAAGAAATAGAATAAAAACGATAAATTTATAGTTATATGATGTGAGTAGATGAGATAAAATAAAAAATATAAAAAAAACAAAGATATAATAGGTGTAGACAAAATTAGGTGTCTGTATGTCGTATTTAATTGATCTTCGTCTCCTGAGAACAAAGTTTGATGACCAAATATTATGCGCAGATTAAGATTGATGCTACCATGGTTTTAGAGTCAAACAATTAATTTAGCCTAATCATTCAGCGTAATAAATGAGAAGATTTTTGCGATTTCAAAATGATGAATACGAACCGTTAAGTCTTACGTTATTAATATATATTAAATCTTAAATGAAGATAAATATTCCGAAATAAAAGTGTTGCAACCTGTTGATTATTTGACCGTTCATTATAAGTAGGATTTATAAGGGTATTTTAAAAAGAAAAAAAAGAAGTTATAAAAAATATAGGGATTAAATATTTTTAATCCATTAATTTGAAGTTGAGTTAGATTTTTGTTTTCAAACTTAAACAGTAAATAGATATAATTATTTTAAATCAATGATATTAACTTTTTTTTATGTATTAAACTGACTTAGAAATGTAAAATAATTTAAACAACTCATAGTTTAAATTATCTTTAACACGTAAATAAAATTGAAAATTGAACTCTTATGTTCATTTATTTTTAAAATTAAAAATTGAAATATATCAAGTATAAATTAATTTTTAAGTTTAAAAATTAAAAACATATTTAATAGACCCAAGTTTGTCGGAATTGTTAATATCCTATTATTGACGGATTAGCAACGACCATGTATCCATCGATAAATCCTTTATCGGTAACAATTATCGACGACCTTTGTCTTTCGGTAATTACCGAGGGTCATATCCTTTGGTAATTACCAAAGAATGTGACTGTCGAAAATTACCGAATGATGTGACCCTCGATAACTATCGAAGGACAAAGACCGTCGGTAATTACCAAAGGGCAAAGACCGTCGCTAATTACCGAAGGACAAGACCGTCGATAATTACATAAGAGCAAAAGTCGTCAGTAAGAACTAGGCAAAATTAATTTATATTTGTATTTGTTATCCAACTGCACAAACTTGCCTAACATGTTCACACACAGACAGACCTACATAACATTTTCAAACCAGAGACAGACCTCCATATATAATATGTATCCCAAAATCATCCAATCATTGATGGAGTAAACAACAATATAACATCATTTGTATTGTTCAAATTTAAGAACTTGTATTTGTAAATGAAATATGAAACATAAAACATAAAACAATATGTTCATCTAGACCAACAATGTATATGTTTGAAAGACATGAGCAAATGTAATGTAGCAAAATCATAATGTTCTAACATCCAAATGTTCTAACAATTATGTTCAATAACAAAATAAAATTAATAATCTACATAGTCATCATCAGAATGATCTTCATCATCCTACTACTCTATAGATGGCTGGACTGGTGTGGGCTGGAATGATATAGGCTGTTGAAGGATGCGGGTGACAGGGAGGGTCGTGGCTGGGTCGGAGGGACGGTGGAATGAAGGTGTAAAGCTTCAGGCAGCGCTCTCATGACCAGGGACTTAAAGTTTGTAAACTCGTCTCTCAATTCACTGTATTCGTCTCTTAAATCATGACATTTTTGGTCACGTTGTTGTAATTGCTATGTCAGGTGCTCGACGGCCTCGTCAGTAGTGGTGGTTGAAGAAGAAGGTTGATGCTTCAGAGTACCTCCTCTTGTTGTTGTGTAGTTTGTAGCAAGTTGTACTGCACCGTACACTTGTCACTTTTTCTTCTCACCAACGACATCGACCCAACACTGTGTCCTATGGATGTCGTTGTCTTCTTCATTACTCACACCATCTGGTGTAGGAGTTGACCCATGTCCGGATCTAACGTGTGAAATTGTCGTAGAAAATTCTTCTTATTCAAACATTAAAATTAGGGAATGATACAATAACATAAATAAAAATTACTAGTAGTAGTAGTGTTATTTGCTTATATGAATCTTCCAAGACCTTTCATCAATGAATTCAGTAGTTCCCTTCCGAACATGAGTCTGGGCAAAGACTTCATCAACATGGACTGCCTGTCCTAGAGCTTGTGCCTGTAACATAATTTAGAATTAGAAGTGTACATGAAATAGAAAATACATACGTTATATATGAAAGAAACATAAAAGTAACGAAGGTTTACCATACAAATGACATGCTCATGAATCGTGATCGACCCACCGATATGCAAGGTGCAACCCTTTTCAGAGCTATGTTCTTCTAGGTTGTAGCACACTTATTGCAAAACTCTGCTGAATTCTAATGAGTGAGTAAAGAGTTCCAAATGTGCTCGCCCAGCCAGTAAGGTTGTTCCCCTACATTGTGGGCATCCCTAAACATCTCTGACAGCCGATGAGATGCTTTACTGTGGAAATTTCTTTGTATTTGAGTTTCATGTTCAAGTTTCCATTGCACCTTCATCTGTTACAATAAACAAAAGAAATATTGATTAATGAACATACTAAAATAAGATTGACAATTAGTTTAATGAGTTGTTCACCTTAAAACACTGCTAGAATGACTCTCTGTCGACTGTAGGTATTGCTCCCCAAGTAGGTCATGGACTCAAATATTGTTGCTTAATTGATTGTGTGATGGCCTGGGAAGCAACCCTAGATGGAACAAAAGGCAAACTTAAAACATCAAAAAAATTAAAAAAGGGATTAAAGTGTTACCCTCGACTAAAAGGCTCAATCCATGGTCGATCATGGAGAGGCGGGTTGATGAGTGCATATTTATGCCCACATTTATGCTTTAAAATTCAAATTTTTGATGGGATAATTGTGCTTAAATGGTTGGTTTTAAGTGAATTTGTGATGATTGGAATTGTTGGGTTTTGGGAAATAAAGAGACGTAAAAAGTGAGTTTTAGTGCATAAATTATTCTTGAATTTTCTAATGTTTATTTGTGCAACTGAGAATATAAGTTTTATTGGTCCAAATGGCAATTCAAGGCCTAAAATCAGATTTTATTTGGAAAGGCGGGTCAATAGCATCACCAGCTGAATCTATATCAGCAGATGTTGTGGCAGTCTCAGAAGTCGATATAGAAGATGAAGAAGGTCTAGAAGTAAGGTCAGAGGGAGAAGTAAATGTAATAGCTAGACTAAAAAAAGGCTTCCTTCTAGGCTATTTCAGATCTTGCTCGAACTATATTAGATTTCGACCGAGCTATATTGGACCTTGACAGGACTGTCGAACTATGTTAATATAAAATGCACAGATTAAGTTTTAAGTTTTTTTAATGAAGTTGGATTGACCTGCAGTATTGACATGTCGAATTTATGAATTTAACGATGTTGAAAATGTTGCTCTAGCTTGGCTTTTATAACTAAGAGACTGACCACGAAGTTCAACTTTTTTTGTTGTCATTCTAACATTTAACGTTAAATAAACTCTATTAACATTGACAAAACTAACATAATTGAAACAAATATTAATTTATTAAAAAAAAATTAAAATAATTAATGTTAGCTTAGAATTTATCTACTTCTACAAGCAACTAAATCATTTAAATATTATTTCACACTTTTTATTTTATTCTTTTAGAGTTAACTTCATACATTACGTTAGATCCTATTAAACCGATTGTAATAACATCATATTTCACCGACATTAATATTTAAAAAGATAATTTACCAATATTTAAAAGGTATTTTAATTTTTTTTATAGTAAATTTTATAAAATTAAAAATAAACAAAATCATTTCGTATCCTTCTAATAATAACCCTTTTGAATAAAAAGTTAAAAAAATTATTTTAACCACTTTTATTATTTTGTTATTATGGTAATTTATTAGTGAATCAGTCTTTTGTTTATAAATGAACAAAATGATAAAAGCATGAAGGTTATTATAAGTTATGTAAAGGAATGTCGTATAAGTGTTATTAGTATTATATATTTTTAATTTAAATGTCATTTATTTATTATTTGTCACATATTTACGGTGATGTAGGCATTTTAGAACTTTTTAATTCCTAGTTCAAATTTAATTTGAACGGAGATAGTGCATTATGGAATAGTATCTTCTAATAAACATTTTATTTTCTTTCATTAAATGTTTAATATTTTATTTACTTAAAAATAATATTTAACAAATAATAAAATTGTTTACTATTTTCAACAACTATCAAGTATCAAATGTGTGTATATTATGGACACTTTTTCATTTAATTCACAGAAATTTAGACAGTAGGTTACGAGATAAAAATTTATTTTACAATGGAAGAGTATATACATCTTTTTTTAAGTACACGTGTTCTTTAAATTATTATAAATCTACAAAATCTTTCCTTACGTTATAATTTTATATTTTATAAATTTTTTAAACTTGAAATTACACAATCCTATAATAACAGACGTATGTTAAAATAATTTTGAAAAATTTATTACATACAAAATCTTTTAAAATTTATATATATAAAAAATTCTTTAGAAATCTTAACCGAATACAATCCT